TGGCTACAAAAAGGTGGACGCAATTGAGCATTAGTGTGTCGTCGACCGTCCTCACTCAAGCAACCCAGCAATGCGCACATTCCAGAGAAAGCCAACAGCGTCGCCCTGGTGCCAAGAATTCCGAGCATCCACTCCATTTCGAATTCGCGCATTGGAATTCCAGAGTGTGCTGCCGTACTTCTGGCCTCCATTCTGCCGCCATGATTTTCCGTATCCATCCACGCATGGATTCGCCACACCGTTTCCCCCGACACCCCGACGGATGCGCGCAAGCGTCTAATTATTCCAGAACTTACTTAGCGAAAACTCTCGATAAAATAAAGTGAAAGATGGATCCGAGGCTGACTGTCGCGCCGAACTTGTTTTGTGGTTTGCCCACTCCAGCGCTGGTTTGATCCGTGATCTGATTCTGTTCGATCAGCTCTCTAAAAACAACTCCTATTATCCATAGATTATGGGTTGAGCTTTCCCCTACGCTGAAATCACATGAATTGACCTGCACTTTTGGTACCAGGAGTGCCCTGATGAAGCCCTGGAGGGAATTCGAACCACCTACCGCGCCACCCATATAGCACACATAGCTTTCTGATAGAGATGGCAATGTGTGTCGTTTGCGTGCAACTGGCTGTCTTCGAGAAGATGTGCAAACGCTGCTAAGGGCATCACAGCAGCAGCAGCAGCAGCTCCCACTGCTCGCCGCTTTTTGGCTGCTGTTCTGTAGATCTGCCCCACATACCCACGTGACTCCTACGACCAGTTGGGACTTTGGGGTTGGTACCGGGTTAATTTGTCAGAGCTGCCGAGTTCTGCACTTCAGCTCTGTTATCTTCGCTTTAAGAATAAGCTATCTACTTTACCTTCTGCCACACGTAGTCGAAATGTCAGGTAAATTGCTCAGTCGACTCCCCGCATACACGCCCGCACGGAACCGTGTTGCTCATTACTCTCACGTAGCCGCCTACCTCGCCAAGGAAAGAGCCGTCGCCATCGAGGCCGTCGAGCGCGCATCCCTCGTGTGCCAAGCCGTGTTCAAGCATCTGGTCACTGGCGAAACACTAGTCAAGAAGGACAAGTCCCCTGTGACCGTTGCTGATTTCAGCGCCCAGGCTGTGGTCAACTCAATCCTAGAGCGGCACTTCCCTGCCGACCCGATCGTGGGTGAAGAGGATTCAAAGGACCTGCAGGGTGACGCTGGCCGCGTACTGCGCGAAAAGGTCGTCGAGCTGACTAACACCACCACAGAAGCGCCCATGACAACCGATGAGATTCTGCGCGCAATCGACCGTGGCCAGTACGCCGGTGGCTCGTCTGGCCGCCATTGGACGCTGGACCCGATTGACGGAACTAAGGGATTCTTGCGTGGCGAGCAGTTCGCTGTGTGCCTGGCGCTGATCATCGACGGCCAGGTGCGTCTGGGTGTTGTCGGGTGTCCGAACCTGCCCTATGATATGAGCAAGCCAGACGGCGAGCGCGGAGTGCTGATGGTGGCCGTCGAGGGCCAGGGTGCGTTCCAGCGGAAGCTCAATTCTGGCTCAGATGATGTCGAGACGCCTATCCACGTGTCTAATGTCCCTGATACTAAGGATGCCAGCTTCTGCGAGTCTGTCGAGTCAGGACATTCGAACCATGGCGACAATGCCAACATTGCCAAGCTACTCGGAATCACCAAGCCCTCGGTGCGCATGGACAGCCAGTGCAAGTACGCGGCTGTGGCCCGCGGCGACGCCGATATTTATCTGCGCCTGCCCGTGTCTGACACCTATGTCGAGAAGATCTGGGACCATGGTGCTGGCAACGTGATCATCCGTGAGGCTGGTGGCCGAGTGTCCGACATCCACGGCAAGCCACTGGACTTCTCCCTTGGCCGCACGCTCAGCGCCAACAAGGGTGTTGTCGCTGCCAGTGCGAGCATTTTTGATGACGTTATCAAGGCTGTGCAGGAGACACTTGCAGGCAAGCTTTAATGACCTCCTGTTGTTTTATACAAAGATATGCGACTCATACATCTCTACACACACTCGGTTGACATTGCTGATGATTGTATCCACAGCATGCTGCCAGCCCTTGCCCTTGCCCTTGCTGCTTGCCCAGTACTTCAGGTGCTTGAGCATGCGTTCTGAGGCGGACAAGTCATGGAACTTGACCAAAGACGTGGCGTAATTGCTGAATTCGTCAACATCCTCGTCGAGAGGGCCGTGCGAGTATGCACCAACCCACTGCCGGACAAGATCAAGTACGTCGTCCAGGCTGCTTGCATTGAACAGTACCGGGACTGCATGCGTGCTATCCTCATCCTTTGCCACGCCTTCAGAAGAACATGGGTCAGCCACTGGTAGGCGTTCTTGTGGACCAACACTTGCCGTGTCCTCTTCGTTCCTGGCTGGTGTTGACGTGGTTGGCGTTGGCGTGGTCTTGGTGTGCTCGCGTGCAAGCTCTCGGCGGATGTTTATTGGCAGCTCTTCCCACACACTTCTGTCCATCTGCGATGGCATTACCGGATCCAGCACCTCGGCCTTTCGGAATGCTTGCATCAGACTCTGGCCACCTTTGCTACCGGAATTTGGCGGGAACACTAGCTTGCGTGGGCGGCCTCGACCACTGTACCCTGAACTCCCGCTCGCCTTCCGCCCGGGCTTGCGCGTAGCAGATGAAGAGCCGCTGGACGTTGGAGTGGCCCTGGTCTTTAGCGCACCTTTTCCTTGAACAATGTTTATGCTGGGGTCGATCTGCTGGTATACCGCCTGTAACTCCTGGCGAATCGACTCTGGCAATTCATTAAAAACGCTAGAGTCCAACTGTGACGCCGACGGCAGCTCGATGACAGGAATGGCACCGCTGGGCTTCGATGTGTCAGCTGCGGGTTTTGTCAGCAGATCGCCAATGTCGCCTGCTACATCCATCGAGTTGAGCTTTGACACCTGGATCCCAACCGACCGAATGTCCAGAGGGTCGATTTTAAGCTGCTGCAGCAGGTCAACGCATACAGCTGAGATTTTGGCCGGGTCATTGGTCATTGACGAAAGCCCCGTGCTCTTGCTCAGGCTGTCACAGATGCCGTGCCCGAGAAACTTGTGCGGTTTGCCTTCGCCTTCCCGTCGCCTCTTTACCTTCAATGTCACCCCTCTCCCTGTGCGCTTGGCGGCACACATCATTTCGCATACAACTGCTGACAGCTGTCCAATAAATTGGTCTGCCTCCTGCTGGCTCGAAAAACGGACTCCCCAGCCAACGTCTGCCCCAAACACCTGGCGCAGCTTGTCTGACTCCAGCACTCGGTCGTCGATTCCGCGGCTGTGATTGTACAGTGTTTGACCTGTCTTTTCGCCACAGATGGCCTGAAGCTCTGCCAGAGCTGTTTTACGGATATCCTTGACTGATGTGATGTTGTGCTGTGCAAGATCTTGTTCAAGCGTATAACCAACACCTGGCAGATCACGCACCCTCAAGTCAATGTCTTCAAATTGCTCTGCAGAGATGGCAAAGACCCCGTCTGGCTTTGCTTTATTTGTAGCCACCCGTGCCAGGAGGATACTGGACCCGATTCCGATACTGGCAGTGCACTGCGTCTGCTCGAGGATGATCTGGCGGATATGCTGCGCTAAACGCTCTGGCTTGCCGTCAAAGTCACGATACACAACCTCGGTGACGTCAAGAAGAGCCTCGTCGATGCTGGCTGCCTGGATCTCGTCGGCAATTTGTGTGAGCTCCTCGTAGAATTTCCGCGATATACGCTTGTACGTGTCAAAGTAGTACGGCACTGTCATCAGCCCTGGGCACCTCTCACGCGCCGGTCCCAGGAACATGCCGTTGCGGACCCCAAACGACCGAGCGACATAGTTGCACGATGCAATTTGGCTGGTACTCCCTGGATGGCCCATGCCCTGTAGACTACCCTCATTGATCTGGTTGCTGTCTGATGGCTGCAGCTGCTTTGAATGGCAAACGACAACAGGCTTGTCTTTCAGATAAGGATGTGACAGCAGACTCGCTGTGACGAAGAAGCAGTCAAAATCGACATGCATAATAATGCGCTGACTCCGACCCACCTTGTCTGCACCCGTGCCCTTCTTATACTTGGTCCGCAGCTGTGCAACATAATCCTTCATCTCGGCCCGCCATGCTGACATGTGGTGCAGGCGAGAGTTCTCGTAATACCGCTTGATAAAGTCCTTGTCAGATGCCAAGTTCTTTCGCACCCAGCTCCGATTGAGCCCTTCATTGAATCTGTCGATCACAGGCGCTGGTCTTGTCAGCAGTCCGAGATCGGATGGCCCTGGGCCTTGCGTCGGCCGCTGGGCAGCCAACTGCGACAGTGGGTCATTGAGTGCTTTTATGCTGGCACCAGTATTGCCTTGGCCGATAAGCTTGTATTTGTGCCACGACAACTGCTTTCCAACACGCACGCTGTCAACAACCCACTCTGGTCGAACCACCTTATAGTGTCTAAACTCCTTTTCCTTGGTCAGCGTCAGACTCGATGCAATAATATGCGTTACCTGCGTCTTGGATAGATAGTGGAGAAACTGGCCGCCGCGTTCAATCAGCAGTCGCTTCAATTCGTAATGTGACGGCTGCGTGTATCCGTTGATGTGGAACACGACGCCAGAGAATATCGCCTCGTGTGCTGGTAGTTTAGCAATGCGCTGCTCGGCTTGCTCGGCTAGCTTGCGCTTGCGTTCGCCAATATATGTGTGGAAGTCGCCGAACCCTGGCACTACAGTGCCAGACTCTTTAGCTTGCTCAACACCAAGCAGCCTCATGGTGGAGTCTGCACCCTCTGGTTCCTTATGTTCGGCAGTGGCAAGATAGGTGCTCCTGCCATAGCGCTCGCTATCAGGCAAGACTGGCTCCAGCTGGTACTCGACGACAGAGTTATCATTCTCGTCTTCTGTTGTTTTGCTTGTAAGGTTAGACATTATATAAAAATTGGCTGCTGAATATATATCTGTATACACATGGGAAGCAGAAGATGCAAACGGGAGAGTTAACCGAGGACAAAAGGTACAAGTCGTGTGCCTAGCGCACCCACCTTCAATAAAAACAATCAACCTTTTCCGCAGTCGGTGTATGGGAATGCATCATTTCTAGACTACCGATTTTGCCATTGTGGAAAAATGCTCCCACTGTTTCTGCGCTGCCTCCATCTCGTCGGCTATGTCTTTAAGTGCACTGGTTGTCTGCTCTATGTCTTTCTCCAGCGTCTTCAGACGGTCTTCGTCAATCACTAGCTGGTCCTCCTCCTGCCCCAGAAGGAAGTTCATGTATGAATCGTCAAACTCAAAATTCCCTGTGTCCTTTGGTCGACTGCGGGCATGCCGCTTCAATGATGCCTGTGTGGACGTGATGCCAGCATTGCGAAGCTGTTCGTTCTCCCAGTCGCTAGCCTCGCTGGCTTCCTGAGCCTCCTCAATCAGTTGCTCTTTGGCTAAACGCGAGCTTTCTCTGTATTGCTCACGCTCCTTCTTGTCGATTATTACAGCATCGTCTTCGTCCTCAGCCGCTACGTTTCCTAAGATGTCATCGTCGTCATCGTATGGATTGTCAAGGCCTGGCCCGCTAATTCGTGACCCGGCAAGGTTATCTGACAGGGAAATGTAGTCAGGCTCGTTGCTCCTGCCACCGAATCCTTCATCGTCCTCGTCAAATTCGCCGTCCAGTCCGTATGCTCCTGCTGCCTGACGCTGTCGCCGCAATATCTTGGCTTGCAGAATCTGCTGCGCATCGGGGATTCCGTCGGTTGCAAATGGATACGGCGCTTGCTGACCCTTTACTGGATTTCTCTCTGGCTCATCAACAGCTGATTTGATACTCGCTCCTTCATCTTTGGAATGCGGTATGCGCGTGTCCGCTGCAGAAGTATCTTGGTCTGGCACTACACTCCCATTCCATTTACCTGGCGTAGGCTCTGTAGGTGCTGCCTCTGCGCTAAAGTTGAGCCCTGTACTGCCGCCAATTGTCCGCTCAGGCTTTGCGGCTGGTTTTGCTGAGCGCTTGACGATGTCAGCCGTAGCGCCGTCGTCTTCGAAGGCACTGTCGTCCTTTTTGCGGATGTTGCGGCGCCCTTTTGACTTTTTAAATCCAAACATAGCTCCAAGTAGAGAGTGAAATGGTGACCTGAGTGATGTTGACAAATGAGACCGCGCAGATCGTGGCCTCCCTCCTCATTGGCGCACATAGGCAATGCACAGCGACAGTTTATGGGGAGTGTGTTACTGGCCCACCCACCACGCCTATACGTGCTATTGCATTGCCGGCGCCCCTTCCCCTCCTTTCAAACAATACATGGCACTATTTAACGCTGGGCTGCGCGCACATAGGCTCCGCTTAGCTGGCTATCTTTAGAGGTCGGCCAATTCCCACCACCACCTTGCGTACTCGCATTTGAAGCGCAAAGCTGACTTTCTGGAATGCTCTTTCCTGCGCAGCACCGTGATTGACTAGGACTGAACTCGACCTCAGCATGGGCAAAGTGCCTCTCACAATTCTAAAATTGGGTTTCCAGGATAAACAAATCAGCAGTGGAAATTTTTAGCGGGATATCCCTATTTTTAGCGTGACAAATGGATGTTCAAAGCGCCTTACCTGTTGCGTACTGCAAGCACGCACCCCCTCTCTCGCGTGAATGGCGCCGTCTTTCGGATTGTTCGACTCAAAAACCTTGCTTCTACTATACTGCTGGAATAATCGCCAGCACTGTCCTGAATCCCCTCCCTCCCCCGCACTTTAAGCCGTATAAGTGGGAGGCCGCGGACTGGTCTCTGCTCGATTCCGCCATTCTCTCTGCCCCAAATACATTCCTGCTCTGCTCCTCCCCCACTCCTCATAATTCCTCAGTCTAAGAACACAGCCTGTTATTTTGCACAATGAAGGTTTTTGCCTCGTCTGTCATCGCTGCTGCCGCCATGGCTCTTGCTCAAGCATGCACCATTAATGTTCGCGTTGCCCGTGACTCTACTGTTTCATACAACGGTATGACCTGCGACAACAACATCCCCTGCAACTCGATCCCGTTCGGCTTGGACAAGGCTCTTACGGCGTTCAGAGGCAACCGCGACTTCGAGCGCGTTCTACTGGGATTTGACTTACCTACTACCAAGCCGATTTCCAAGTGTGTGCTCAAGATCCCGACTCCAATTGAGGTTGCCACAACTGGCGAGTACACGCTGACCGCCTTAGTTACAGATAACAACTGGAATGAGACCGCTGTGGCTGGTGCTAACAAGGATATGAGTGGAACACAAGTTGGCTCGGTCAAGGTTGTGGCTGGCCAGACCCCTGGCGACATCGATGTCACCTCTGCCTGCCAGAATGCTAAGGATGACAAGCTCAGCCTCTTTATCGATACCAGCTTCCCCATGGTTCGCTTCAACTCCATCCAGTCGGGAAGCCCTGCCATCTTCTCCCTTGACATCACGTACTGAGCGTTGCTGTGGCATGGCACTCACAGGCGGATTGCTCCCGCGGAAAACAGATTCTTATTTATATTTGCTTGGTCTTTGTGGTTTTACGGAACAAAGACTTTAACACTCATGGCTGCACCACATACCAAGCACCAGTGACTGGGCTACTATTTGATACACCCTGGCCGACTACACGACTGATTAATATATGAAGCGGTGGGCAGCTAAACTTTTTCTCGATTTTGTGCGGGATGGCATCTGATCGGATTAGCGACACGTCACCATGTAACCCTACTTGTACGATACAGTGCCGATGGGCAATCAGAGATTCCTCGGAACTATATGGCAGTGTACAAAAAGTGGCGTGGTATAAACAAACTGCTGCACAACAAGACCAGTCAGCGTTGCTGAATATTTTTGAATGGTACTATTAGGAAAAATAGCGTTTGTAGAGTCTATACCGGCACCAGTTAAACAGCTTGCTAAATGTAGTTATTTGTTACTGAAAACGCCCAAGATTGCCGGCCACGGTACAGGCTACCTGTTGCTCGATCGCTCAATTCAGCTGTCTCTTGTGAGGCATCTGATCAATTGGCAGCCAACCTGTATCGAATACAGCTAAAACCTGCTCTATACTCAGCTTTCCAGGCTGACGACGTCTGAATGAATGGAAGCAGATAAATATGGTAGTATTGTCTGTTCCCTGGAGTGAAGGACAAGACTTAGTCTGCAAAGGCGCTAGACAATATTCACAGCTGTGTGCAATATGGCATAGTCGCATAACGGCCTGCTGTCCATAGAGGGTGGACAGCTGAATCCTCCGCTGCAAAAAGCAGACCCACACCACTTGCTTAGAGTGGTGAGGCTTAGCCTCGAGCCTACCAGCTACCGACTAACGCTCCTCGAAGATAGGATCATGCGTGGCCGGTATTTCCTCTGGGCTATGACTTGTGCGACACTACTTCATCGTATTGTCAAAGACTATCAGCAGACCTTTTGCAACCACCACAAAGTCGGTCCTTGGCTGATTCGGTGTTTAACAGAATCACAAATTCATGCAAATTTGGGGATGCACAATAAACCCCTTGCAAAGCTAGGCACGGTATTCCTCTCGGCCATGACTTTTTCTGGTTTTCATGACACAGCAGGTTCTCCTGTCTTTTGTAGCCGATGTATTTAATGCGGGCCCGCCGCCTGAGAAATGAGAAAAATCTTACTCTCCTCATCCCGATATACTTTACATTCCATATTCCTAACTCCAAACCCTCAGTCTATTGCCCATGAACAAGCTGGAAAACGAAACTATCAGCTCAGCGTATAACATTAACTTTGAAAAGTCGTGGCTGGACCTTGGTCCTGAGGAAAACAAAAGCAAAAGCAGGCTATCGCTAAAATTCTGGCACAAGAGTCGGTCATCAAAACATGAGCAGACCTCCAATATAGATAGTATGCAGCGCTCAAGAAGTAAATCGATGCAGATTCGCAAGCCACCAATTAATTTTTCACTCTTCCGCTGAAGGCCCGCGTACATCTACTCTTTGCAGGAAGCTGCTTCATGAACTCATCTTTCATATGTATCATAACACGAGGCAATAATAAAACATTTACGTACTGAATTTAAAGCATTCCTTAATAGCTTTGTCACAAATTCAAACCAGAGTTCTCGGTATTCTGTATTGTCGATGCCAATTTATTATACTGTTTTTAAATAGGAAGCAATAAAATAAGCTATTTTATTATTTCTTACCCTATTTGTTGATGCAATGCCTTCATGTCAAGTGCATAATTGTTGCAATAGCATATTAAACAATATGCTATATGCAATTCTGGACTCAATCAGTATGATCTGTGTACCTGAAAGTCGAAGCTAGATATAGCTTTATTTATCATAAAGAATTATTTGATGCATAATAATAACAGATGCTATTATTACTATAACTCTATATGCATACCATCCATTATTTGTAGCAATAAGGTATATAAAGATAATACTTTTTTGCTCTTACTGCAACTCCTAGGTCTATTTGAAGCTATCTAAAAGGGGCTGCTCTTAGACTTATAAGTTTTAATAATCTCTAATTTAGTTAGTTGCATAATTATATAAACATTTTCAAAGCAGTTTTTGGCTACTAGGTATTTTTAGTATAGATAATAATTATTATTATATCCAGAATATCTATGTGCATATAAATAATTACTAAGCTAAAATTTTTATTAGCTATTTTACTAAAAGTGCCAGTAGTTACTATATACTTAAATAATTAATAAGTAGATAAGTAACTCTATATATCCTCTATTAAGCCAGAACATAGAGAGCAGATAGAGATATTATGCTAAAGTAGGATAGAATTTCTGAATAGCCAATTTCATATATAGTACTAGAAAAGGATCATAAGTGCATAGGCTTACTCTTAGCAACTACAGAATAGTTAAATGTGTTGTAGGAGCCCTTTGAAGGTTACTCGTAGTTCTAGCAACTCAAAAACCATCAGATACCTTGATTTCACAAGGCATACTGTTTTGCGCGTTACAGTGCAGTATGTGATAGAGTGGAGCAATGGCGCAATCTGAAACAGGTTACTGAAAGACATCAAACTTAAAAAGGATGAAAACAACGAGAGCAAATTGGGTTAGCTTGTTGAGCAGGATCCGATGATCAGGGGCTTTAGCTCAGTGGTAGAGCAATCGGCTGCAGTCCGATAGGTCACCGGTTCAACTCCGGTAGGTCCCTCTTTTTGCAGAATTTTTGCATTCTCGTTTGCCAGCCTGAATGCCGCCCCCAAAGTGGCCAATTCTGATTGCAGTTTTCACAAGAGTATACTTGTTGAACTATGCCTCGGTAATAATAATCCACCGAGCATCTGCCTCGTTTTTGCAAGTGCATCAAAGCGTACACTGAGATATCAAGGTGCTATTCCTGAAGTCTGGAGCTATCCAGAAGACCGATGGATTCCAGGTATAGGCAAAGGGAGTAAGCAAAAATACTGACCACAGATTGGACAATATGCTATTCTGGCCAACAACCAATATTTATACTATTTAAAATTGCAAAGGTGAGGTTGCAAATAACGAGTCAACCTGCTCACCTACCAGCCATGCAACGAGTCCCCAATACTAATCCAGAGTCTGGGTGCGAGGATGTTCATAATTCTTTCTTGCTCTCCTTGCGCATAAAACATTCGCAAAATACCTATGCCCACTGACTCCTCCCCTTGCATTAAGAAGTAACCAATACCAACCTCTCGTTCTAGCCTTCCACTGTAGGTATAGGCCTCAAGATTTGCTCTGAATTGGACATGGTACATCCAGTATCAGCTGTGTATACAGTATCATAGGTGGATGCTTGTCTCTGACTTGATTGTGTATTAAGTTTAACTGGTAGGCCTAACCACTTGGCGTTTGGTGATCTACTTGCTAACTCTTGGGCTGCAATATTATATCTGATAGTATCCATGGTTGATATTTTATGCAAATTATTACGCTTTGTTAGAAAAAAAACTCGGCAATGTTTGTCCAAAATTCGTTTTTTCAAAATATTTTCCTTGACTTTGGGTGACACCGTCAAGTTGACAAGCACATCCTTGCATGGTGGAGGTGAGGGTAGAAGAATGATGGAGCCTTCTCCAAAATCCGGAATTATAGTAGCAAAGCTCTGCACACCATTGCCGAAATCTGCCTTGTAGATACCGAGCCGGGTCTGATTTGATATCCAAAGAGTAAGCCTGTAGGAAGTCATGCCAACGATGAAGTTGC